ACCAAAAATAGTGCCGACATATATATATATATATAATTTGTAATAAATATTTTTAATTTCCAAATTTTAAATTGAATGAAGTCTTCCTACTCTGATAAGATAAATAAGCATAACATGTTGACTTAAGTGTACTTTTAAGCATCACATCTATGATATAATTCATAGGGGCTTGCCCCCACGAAAAAACTTGATCTCTCAAAATCAAGTCAGCCTTGTCTAATTCTTCATAACATTTAAGAGGCACCTCTAAAGTTTATTTTCAATGAACATTCTATCTACTCTTACAATATGTGTACTTTATAATGATTTTTACACTATGTTTATTTTTCATTATTTGGGGTGGTAATTTCATTTTTTAGAGAAAATATTTTCAAACACTTACAATTTTTTTATAATTAATTGTGTACTAATTTATGATTTAATCATTTTTAAAAGATCAATGAAAGGATACACTTGAGTCCAATAGAGCGTTTACTCCTTTATTGCTTAGCAAATTATGGAAGTTATTATAGATGACATATTATTATTTCAAATGTTCAAAATTTAATTGTTCTTTAGAGTTTTGTGTACCATTATTGTCACTAAATGTTTTAAGTTTAGTTCCACATCAAAATAGTTAACAAAATATGTTGATATGAAGATACCAAATAATTAACATCAAGCAAATTAAGCTTTTGGGTTGAATACTAATCTCATCACATGTGTATATGATGCAACCTTGACCCCACTATTCTCAAAAATCTAATTATTCAAATTGGCATTTGTAACTTCTACTTTATTTGCTTATATATCCTTGGTAACTCATTGCCTACAAGCTCTTTATAATTAATTGAAAACTCAAAAGATAGATATGGTTAGGCAGTGCCCATCATTTTATTACATACATTGTTGATCCATTGTCTCCTTCATTACCATACCAAACATTAATTGAAATTAATATAACATGTTAAGAATAATAAATACTACATTTAAGTAGCTTATCTCCCTCACCACCTCCCTCCTAAAATCAAAGTTTGATTTACTTGAAATTATTTGCCTCATGATCTCATTTATTGAGAGTGAGCATTGAGCTTAGACTCATCATATAGCTCAACTTTTCTTCCATTCAATTTTTGTGTTGGCCTCGCATTGTTCTTGAACTCAGTCGCAAGGGAAGACTTAATCAAGGCAACTTGCTCTTTGGAGACTTTCCTCACCTGAAAAAATCATAGATGTATGCATAACTATTCCATTTTAGTTTAATATCAATGCATCTTAAATAAAAAAATACCACAAAACTCTTATGTAATTACATATATAACCTCTAAACATTCATATTTACATTAAAAAGCTCAAATCTTTAACATCACATCAAAAATATCATTATTAATAACTTCTTAAACGTGAAATGTATCTCTTCATGCATAAGTTTATAACATCAAACTGTTATAAACATAAATATCAAACTTTAGGTGTTGAATGTATAAATGCATAAGAATTGTGTGCTATATACACAAATTTTTCGTATAAAAATCCTAATAAACATAAATACATAAGAGGATTAATTACTATAATTTCGATTAAATTAAATTAATATGAACATGCATCATGATTACCTTGCCAAGAATATACCAAGTGACATTCTCGCTACAAGGAGGAGTTGTGAGTGAGCCAACATATTTGAAGTATCTTCGACTATGGCGTTTTAAGGATTTTGTTCGGACTCGACCAACTGACACTTGGGTCTCTTCATCCGCGGAGCAGCGTTCCTCAGCTAGTTGAGCCACTGCTTCCTTCAACTATACTCATTAACATGTTAAGTAAATTACAGTTCTCAAATGAGACTCGTGCGCCCACACTCGCTCGCAGACACGCACACTCTCTCTTGTTGGAAAAAAATAAAAGAAAACATTTTATGAGAAATGTTTCATATCACATTAAAAATACCACTATTTTAACATTTAGAAAGTGAAATACACCTTTTCATACATAGGGAAAGTGGCATGTATTTAAAAATTAAGGCCTAGGGGTTAGATATGTAAATACAAAAGAATTGAGTGTATGTATGTAAATCTTCCTAAGTTCATCTAAGAAAGTTGATCAATAGCATATTGAGTATGCAAATGGAGGCTGCTATATATTAGCTTCAGATAACCCAGTAACACATTAAAATATAGGGAAATTTACATACAGACCACACAATTTTTTCGCATTCATATCTAACACTTAAAATTTGATATTTACACTTATATCACTTTGGTGTCATAATCTTATGTAGGGCTGTCAAAAACGCTCGTTGTTCGCGAACAGTTTGTGTTCGGTTCGTCAATGAGTTCGTGCTTGATTCGTTCGATAAGTAAACGAGACGAACGTGAACAAATTTTTTTCGTTCGGTTAGTTAAACGAACCAAACACAAACAGTCGATAAGTTTATTTTATTTGCACTATAAAATAAACTAAGATTCATCATTTGCAAATTTGATTGTTTTATAAATTTGATGAAATTTTCAATTATTTTTTATTTTTATTACTTAATTTTGGGGAGCAATTACATATAGGCCACCTGAAACATTGCTATTTACAAATCAACCACCCTCTTTCATCCATTCTTGGAATTCTCACTCAAAAATCAAAATTCATGCTAAAACCCCGACCCGTATTTTCCATTTTTATCAAATTCTCATTAATTAGACCTCGGCAGATTGCATAATTTGTAAATAGCAATATTTTGGGTGGTCTGTATGTAATTATCTCTTAATTTTTTTATTATTGTCAATTTCTGATGTAATTATTATCTGGTTTTGTTATATGAAAACTGAGGGCATATGTATGTCTAATTACCTGGTATAGAAAAGGGTCTGGGTTGCCAAAATCGTATAAAACTGCAATAATTGCAACATTGCCCTCTTCACTCTCATGCCCCATTTGAAGCTCCAATGGATACCTATCAAAACAATTCAAATTAATGTAAATTAGCAATTGCTTCCTAGTTAAGCATTTATTAAGGTCCCGTTTGAGGCAGCTTATTTGGTGCGATGGCGTTTTGAAAGTGCACCCGCAGCTTATTTGGTGCGATGGCGTTTTGAAAGTGCAGCCGGCCTGTTTGGGTAAACTGTGTTTTGGCAGCTTATGTGTTAGTGTTTTCACACCGTACCTATCTAGGTGCGGTGGCAGCTTTCAGGCTGCGGTCTGACTTTTCCAAAAAATAAAAAAAATTTAATTGTCATCGCACTTAGTTTATCAGCAGATTATTTTTAATTATCATCACAATTTTATTGCATCCAATACCTCAAATTTGATATTTAAAGTTATAATACCTTGATCTCATTAACTTATGATATTAATTTTTTGATTTGATGCTAAACATTTTTACCGAGGCCCTGTTTGGGACATCTTAATTAATATTTTAATATGAAACACTCTTAGGACCGTTATATGTAAACTGTGTTTTAGCAGCTTATTCAAAAAAGTGCATTTTCAAACCGTTGAAATCAGTGTTTTCACGCAGTTCCTGGTTAGGTGCAGTGACAGCTTTCTAGTTGTGGTATTAATTTTCAAAAAGGAAAATTATAATAGTCACCGGAGTTTTTTTTAACAATAAATTATTTTTCAGCAGCTTATTAATAAGTTGTGCCCCAAACAAACCCTAAATTTGGGAGATGTATATACTAATTATACAATCATTAAGAAAATAATACATACTGTTGATTATCAATAGTGTGCTCTGAAGGGGTATGCCAATGCACTTCCTTTAAAGTATAGTTCTTCCCATCTTGTGTCATGAAACCGCCACCTTTCTCAAATTTCAACTGCAGCAAAAATAAGAAGAAATTATTACGTGCGGCGACCGCACGTCTGGATGACGATCTATCGTGTTATCCACGAAGATATGGTTACATCTCGACTGTCATCCAGATGCACAATCAGTCAACCACACGCAACAATTTTCCCAAAATAAAAAATAAATATGTTTTTTTTTTTGTTATTTCTTCGAAACATTTACATACATACCACACGATTTTATTGTATTCAGATGTCAAGATATCGAACACTTAGACATTCAAATATATCATCACCATTATCTCTTTAGAAGTGAAGCACGAATTAGGTGTTATGAGTATAAATATCAAACTTTTGGTGTTAGATATGTAAATACATAA